CCTACCTGCTCTCGGCCTTATATCGTCACAAATACTTTGAATAGGAATTTATCCTTTTGAGAATATATTCTTGGATAGTTTATCTATCGCATTTAAGCAATAAAAAAAAATCAATTTTTTTGACCTTGTAAAACAGACTACCGCCTTAATAAATCATATCCTTACCGCTATTCCTCGATAGCTTTTGAAATAATTATCTATATTACATCATAGAACTGGGAGCATTAAAGTTGCTTCCTCCAATTAAATATCTTACACATCCAATTCCTTATTGGTGAACAGTCTTTTTTTATTAGTACAAAATCGGAAAACGTTTGTAGACGTCGTATTACAAGTATATTACGAAAGCGTTAAAATATGCACGCAATCCGACACATTCGTTAAACATTTTTCTAATCATGAAAAAACGTGCATATATCCAATCTACTAGGGTTAGAATCGAACATTGCTCACGTTTATTTTGGCCAATAAGCGCTTATTTGTGCTCACTCTTTTGCTATCCTACCTCGATGCAAGCATTTGTGAGCATGAGTATGACGTCACGGATGATGTCATGAACGCATCTCTGAGCGCTTACACCGCCAAAGCGAACAACGTGAGCATGCTTATAAGCGCTTAAAGCGTGTAAGCGTGCAAACCGAACGCAGCCAGAGTAGACAAGGCATAGGGGCCCCTGTAAAGTCCAAGATACAATGCGAGAGAATAGCGATAGCGATAGGAATAACACGATTTCAACCTATCAGAAACTGTGTATTCCGATATATCCGATTTCTGATAGGTTAAAATCATGTTATTCCTATCACTATCACTATTCCCTCGCATTGTGTCTTGGGCTTAAGTGGAAATGTTAGGCAAAAGAAAGGGAAAGAATACGAGATGGCCATCTTTATCTTTATCTATAAATGTTGCGCGCGCATCAAACTTTGAAAGCTGAGTAGGGCGGCATCGATATATTGCTCTCCTCAAATCTCCTCACTTAACAGTGAAAATCAACAGCGCATGCGCAATTAAATAAGGATGCTGATGGCCATCTCTAGAGTAAGGCACTAGATATGTAGGTATTCTTATCCGCCATCTTGGTTCCACTTGATTGATAGGTTATAGTACGATTAGTGACAAAGGTACATGTTAAGAAGAGAGTTTATCAAATTTTGATAAAAATACACTGAATCGATGCATTTTCGCGTAAAAATTTGACAAGAAAAAAGTGTCACTCCGTCCTGCGAACCGAAATATTAATCCTTAAAGTGGGCGACTATTTAGGTTAGGAAATTTGTGACAGCAGTGGTTCACTGCGTTAAAAACACAAATTCACTACTTTTAAAATACGAATTCACTACTTTAGCAGAGAAAGTTAGGTCATGACAGTAGAAATTACGTCTGTAACATGAAAAGCAAAGTACAATAATGCGATTTTGGGAAAATTAATAAAAAATTAAAGA